GATAAATATGACAATAAAATCGCAATAAATACACTGAATCTACAAATCAAAATAAATGAACAAGAAATCTAATGAACAAAATAAACTGGTGAATAAAATAGAATCAGAGACACGGAAACATGGGCCAGACTGATGAATCTCAAAGGGAAGGGGAGGGGAGTAGAGGAGGAAGAAGTGATTAACCAAAGATCTTACATGCATGTATGCATTACCTATGGACACAGACAATAGGTTGGTGAAGGCCTGGGACAGGGCAGGAACCGGGTGGAGGGGGGCAATGGGAGACAAAAGGGGACTATCTGTAATACTCTCAACAATAAGAGTATTTTTTTAATGAAAAAATAAATAAAAAGAAAGGACTATTAAAAAATGCAATGTCACCCAATAAATTGAATTTAAAAAATAAAATAAAATGCTACTTACAGGGAAACAGTTGTTAAGATTAAAAGCAAAAGTAGTCTTGCCCTGACCGGTTTGGCTCAGTGGATAGAGTGTCAGCCTGCAGACAGAGGGGTCCCGGGGTTCGATTCCGGTCAAGGGCATGTACCTTGGTTGCGGGCACATCCCCAGTGGGAGGTGTGCAGGAGGCAGCTGATCGATGTTTCTCTTTCATCAATGTTTCAAACTCTCTATCCCTCTCCCTTCCTCTCTGTAAAAAATCAATAAAACATATTAAAAAAAAAAAAAAAAAAAGCAAAAGTAGTCTTGCTCAGACTGACTGAAAGTTTGAAGGCCTTTAGCTCTGGGTATCCCAATTTGATTCCATTTTCTCTTTTCTTCCAGCCATAGCTAATCCCCATTCATGGATGATAAACAATATCAACCCTTCTCCCTTCCTAAGCTATCATGGAGAAAAACCACGTAACCATGCAGAACTGGTACCAATGCATGCTTATGCTAACCAGCTATGCTCTCAACAAAGTTATCACTGGTCAGCTACTTCAAAGTCAGGTATCAAACCTTTCATTATATCATACACCCCCAATCCTACCATCTCCTCCAAAAGATGACCCTAATGTATTGAACCCAGAGACTTATCACTTCTGAACCATATGCCCTTGAGCAAATTAAATCTCTTGAGCTTCAGCTTCCTTGTTAGAAAATGCAAATATTCACCTCACAGTTGTTGCAAGAATTATGGTAAGAGTAATTTAATTTAGCACATTTGAGTGCCTATCACCTCCCAGGCACTACACTAAGAACACAATGGTAGTAAACAAGATACACAAAATTCCTGCCCCCCCCCTTTTTTTTTGAAAGAGAAAAACATCGATTTGTTGTTCCACTTATTTATGCATTCATTGGTTGATTCTTGAAAGTGCCCTAACGAGGGATCAAACCCAAAACCTTGGCACATTGGGACAATACTCTAGCCAAGTAAGCTATCTGGCCAGGGAAAATTTCTTGCTCTCTTAATGCTTACATTAGGGTCCAAATTAAATATAGGATGGTCAGAGAAGACAAGAAATCTAAGGTGATGAGCATTCCAAGCAAAACATGAGATAGGTCACAAGACAGTGAGTATATTTCAGGCAGGAACTGCCAAGTCCAAAGGCTGCTCAACAGAATTAATCATAGCAAATTCAAGTAATGGAAAGAAAGCCAGTGTGGTTAGAACAACAGAGCAAAGAAACTACAATACCTACCTCAGGGGCCTCAACATGTATCTTACATTACCTATCTTCAGAAAAAAACTTTCAAAGGTCCTATTTTGTTCCAATTTAGAGACAGGAATTGTGATCCAGAGTGCTAATAGGAACTTTCCTGAGGTTACAAAGTTATTATGAAACCAGGATTTCAACCCAAGCAGTCTCATTCCATGCCCATTGTTATAATAAATTGTGCTACATTTATACAATGGAATACTACACAGCAATGAAAAAGAACTAGGATTCACACAATATGAATGTATCCCACACACATTAGATCCCACACATCTGAATGTATCCCACATTTAAAGCAAGACAGAGTGCCTATAATCAACTGAGTACCTTGTCTACAATCCTGTTTATGTTAAGTGCAAGAACAAGCAAAACTAATTGACGGTGATGGAAGTCACAACAAGGTTTGCCTTATGGGAAAGAATTATTGGCTGGGAATAAGAATGAATTTTGAGGATGAAAGTGTTCTATTATATATGTAGATGTGACATACACATACGTAAAACCACAACTAAATTAGTTGCAGACTTCAAATCTGTGTTATCTACATATGTCATCCTATCTAATAAAAGACAAAAAGGGTAATTGACTGTACCTTCGCTACGCTTCCCATTGGCTAATCAGGGTGATATGCAAATTAACTGCCAACCAAGATGGCGGCTGGCAGCCATGCAGCTGAAGCGAGCAGGAGGCTTGCTTGCTCCAGTGATGGAGGAAGCCAAGGTTCCCCGCCTGCCCCAGCCAGGCTCTGAGCTCCGAAAGCAACAAAGTTTCAATTATAGAAGGTAAATAAATCCCAGAATAAAAAAAAAAAAAGAAAAAAGTAGAGGCTAGGAGCTTCAGTCACCAGCCAGCCTGAAAACGGCCCTCAGCCCCTCACCCAGACTGGCCAGGCACCCCAGTGGGGACCCCCACCCTAAAGGGGGTATGACCAGCTGCAAACAGCCATCAGCCCTTCATCCAGGCTGGCCAGGCACCCAAGCGGGACCCCCACCCTGGTCCAGGACACCCTTCAGGGCAAATCAGCTGGCCCCCACCCGTGCACCAGGCCTCTATCCTATATAGTAAAAGGGTAATATGCAAACTGACCCTAACAGCAGAAAGACTGGGAATGACTGGTCACTATGACACACACTGACCACCAGGGGACAGACGCTCAATGCAGGAGCTGCCCTCTGGTGGTCAGTGCACTCCCACATGGGGGAGCTCTGCTCAGCCACAAGCCAGGCTGATGGCTGCCAGTACAGCAGTGGTGGTGTGAGCCTCTCCTGCCTCCTCAGCAGCGCTAAGGATGTCCGACTGCAGCTTAGGTCTGCTCCCCGCTGGCAAGTGGACATCCCCCGAGGGCTGCCGGGCTGCCAGAGGGATGTCTGATTGCCAGCTTAGGCCCAATCCCCTGGGGAGTGGGCCTAAGCCAGCAGGTGGTCATCCCCCAAGGGGTCCCAGACTGCGAGAGGGCACAGGCCCGGCTGAGGGACCCCCCCGCCGAGTGCACAAATTTTTGTGTACCAGGCCTCTAGTACTTCAATAAAAAAATAAAAAGTAAAATAAGCCCTAGCTGGTTTGGCTCAGTAATTAGAACGCCCGCCTGCGGACTGAAGAATCTCGAGTTCTATTCTGGTCAAGGAGGGTACCTCGGTTGCAGGCTCCATCCCCACCCCCAGTTGGGGCGCATACAGGAGGCAACTAGTTGATGTGTCTCTCTCACATTGATGTTTCTCTCTCTGTCTCACCCCCTCTCTAAAAAAAAAAAAAAAAAAAAATCAATGGGAAAAATATCCTCAGGTGAGGATTAACAACAAAAAAAGCAAAACAAGTGAGATAAAGACATCAATATCCTTTAAAAGCAACTTTCCAAAGGAGGCTCTGAACCTAAGAGAACCATAACAAATTCTGAAAATAACTATCTAGCTGACATAAGGAATGGTGGAGAGAAATTCTCAGTACCTACTGAACATGATTCTACTACTGACCCCAGAGGCCTCACTGGGAAATACAGTGGGACCTTGACTTACGAGTGTCTTGACTAACGAGTTTTTTGAGATACCAGCTGTCTCTCGACTGATTTTTTGCATTGAGTTGACAGAGTAATTTGAGTTAACGAGCTCCTTAACGAGCTTGGTCTCGGAACGAATTAAACTCGTAAGTCAAGGCCCCCCTGTATTATAGTACAACTGACTAATCAACCACTTTATCTGAAGGCCTTCATATTCAGAAAATACATATGCTGGTCTAAGAGGCACCAAGGGACCAAGCTCGGGTTTCCTTTCCACCTCATCTCATGCTGTTTTCACCCCTCTCTAGTCGAATGGGCCTTTCTGCTGCTCCTTGTACAAACCAGCTTCATTCCTACATCAGAATCTCAGCATTGCCTGGAATGCTTTCTCCAAAGCTCCCAGCTCATTCCCTAGGTCTCTGCTCAAACCTCACCTCCTCAGGAAGGCTCTACTACCACGTGGCAAATTATTTTCAGAAGTTATAGGTAGGAAAAAGATTCTCTCGCCTCAAACTACTAACCTTAGGTATGTTAGAGTATACCAAGAGAACAGGGTTTCGTTTCTTCTCCTGGTGTTTCAAAGCAAGAAACCCCTGGCTCAATCTTGTGACCCACTGCCTCGTGTATCTTTAGCTTGGGCTCTCTTTATTACTTTGTATTATTTAACTCTTGCCCTTTTACTTTCTCTTATAACTTTATAGCCATTCACTTCACACAAACACAAAGTGCTTTTTTAAGTCAGTTAAATATATAATAAATACGACTTAAATCACTAGCAGTTGGCGCCTCGCACACATCAACTCCAAAAAAAATATTGTTTTGAGGAATACACAAATGAGTCAATAATGAACAGTGGCAGGGCATATACACTCTGCACATCGCCTGGGACATAAGCATGGCAAGGATGACTGTCAAACAAAAAAACGAATTAAATATCATCAAGCTTGGATTTCACTTCTTCGTCTAGTCAGATGTCATTTAAAAAAAAACAAAAAACAACCCTTTCCGGTCAACTATAGATGTCAACTACAGAAACAGACAACGTTTTTCTAAAGACCTGCGAGGGTGAAGAAACGGACTAGGAATGGGAGGGGCAGGAACAGGGGCTGGGTTAGCGGAGCCATTAAAGAAGAGAGGAAGAGGAGGCTGACTCTGTCTGCACGAGGCTGAAACACCGCACAAACAACCGACAAGGCCCCAGAAAGGAAGACATGTGCTGGAGGAGGCGGGGTTCGCCGCCTTCCCCAGAGGAGAGGAGGCTGGGACGGGTTCTCTCACCTCTAACGCCGCCTGGGGGTCCTCGTCAATCAGAGCATCTGAGAAGCTCCGGCAAAACCTGCCAAGAAAGCAACGACTTCAGCAGGGCGCGCTAACCAAGGGAAGGGGGGCAGGGGATGAAAATAAATAGCAAAAAGAAGAAAAAACACGTACGTTTGGGCTGTTGCAGGTCCAGCTGCAGCCGCCGCCATCTCTACTAGTCAATGTTGTGTTGCTGCAGCTGCTACTACGGAGGTTACCAGCTCCGCCGCCGCCCGAGGGGGAAACTTCTGGAGAGACACCAACCGAGCTTCCGCTCTAAGTAGCCAACGAGCAGCCACGCTGCGTGCCGCGGAGGGAGCAGACCGGAGGGGAGGGAAGAAGGGGAGGGAGGCGAAAAGCAGGCGCGGGGCTCGCCGGGACCGTGGAGGACCCAGTCTCCCGGCCCAACCCCCTCCTGGTGACCAGCACTCCTACTCCCCGCCCCTCGCAGCCATGGTAATGGAGGCCTCGGCTGGCCTTCTTACGCCACGCGCCCGTACTCTGACAGATGCCTCTGGGGTAGTAGCTTAAAAGGACTTTGGTAATTTACTGTCATCGCTCAGGAACGTGTGGCGTTTGGGGACGTTTAAATGCCTGTTAATAACAAGCCACATCGCGCTCCATTGTCACAATTCACACAGCTCTCCTGGTTACTGGAGACAGCCTTTCGTGCCCCGTGACGTCACTTGCTGTTATGTGAAAGTTCCCGGATGGCAGCGGGTCACTCCCAGGATCTTTGCACTGGGAACCCTAAAGAAGTCGCCGGAAGTCGTTCTGCCCCGCAGAGGCTAGCTAGACAGACCAAAGTCTTTTGGTTCCGGTGTGGGGGCACTGTTCCATTCCTCTGAACACCACTGGCGCAGGTTTCCTTCCCAGTTAGCTTCCCAGATTAAGAAGAAAACCCTGTTCCTGCGGAAGGCACTGGAAGGAAGAAGGTGGGCTGAAGTCTCAGTGCTGCTTGACTTTCCTACCTAGTCGGTTAGGCCCTCCCTCCCCGGTTTTCGCCGCTGGCAGATCAGGTAGAAGAAGCTTCCAGCAAGTACTCCGGCCAGGGGTGGGAGGAGCAAGAGGGAGTGGGAGTAAGCGGCTCAGCCAGTAGAGATAAATAAGTAAATGAACGTGAGTGTTAGTACACCCAACATCTAAACTAAGCTCTGGGACTCAAAGATGTTAATGCGCTCCACAAACTTAAACCAATGCTGTTCTAAGTGGTAAAATGAAACAAGGGGAATAGTCATGTGTTAGCAAAGTGGGTCACTTAGGGGAATATAAGGTATAGGAATGGATTCCTCAAAGCTGTGGAAGCCTATGAGCCTCAAAAGATGAATTAGAATTAGTTGATGATGGAATTGGAAAAGGTAATCCAGAATAGGATTTGCGTTATAAACTATAATGTGAACTCTTTCAGGTGGGGGTAGTTGCTGGCTCAATTCCCAGTTGAGAGTTCGATCCCCAGTAGAGGGCTTGCAGGAGGCAGTCGAGGGATGATTCTCTTTCATCATTGAGGTTTCTATCTCTCTCTCCCCCTTCCTCTCTGAAATCAATAAAAAACTTTTTTTAAAAGAATGATTGAAGGGATTCCCTCTGCCCCACCGCTGCCCATGAGGCCAAAGTGGGAGGACGGGGGAGAATGATTAAAGGGAAAAAGAGAACAGCAGTTGGGAGACCATTGCTGTTTTACAGGGGTGGGGAAGGGGGAAGTGCCCCTTTCTTTCCTCTAGTTCTTTTGGCTGGTCAAATCAAATTAACAGGAGGCAGATTGACAAGAGAAAATCAAATTTAATATTATGTGCATGGGAACACCACATACATGAGTCACAGACCATGCATACCTGACAGTTTCAGAGATAGAAAGGAGGATTGAGGTATATAAGACATCCTGAGCTAGGGATGAAATAAAGTGCCTTGGGGACTTCAAAAGGTCATTGCAGGATGATAAAAGCGGACATTCAGTAATTAGTAGTTTGCCCTGCCCTATACTAGATAGGTCAAAAGAAGTTATCTCTGATATAGTAGGTAGGTCAAAAGAAGTTATCGCTGATAATCTCTCAAAAACAAGGTCTCTAATTCAAATTCTTCTAGGTACTTGGGGGAAGAGGGCAGAATTTTCTCTTGAGCTTGAAGCTAAAATTGCCTTTACCTCAAAGTAATCTGCATACCACTGAGGCACATCTCGGGGTGGCTTGTTCTGGACTCTAACACAGGCCAAAGTGACTCAAATAGCTCAGTGGTTGTAAGGATGGAGAGGAAGGTAACAATTACAGAAATGTTTAAGTTAAAACTTTCTGGGTTTGTTGATCTTTTATGACTAATACTCTTTGTATCTTATATAATAAAGCTCTGCCTATGCCAAGGCCATGAAGAAAATTCTGTTTTCTTCTAGATGCTTTATTATTTTACCATGCATATCCAGGTCTGATTTACTTCAAATTAATTTTTGTGAAAGGTAGGCAGTTGAAATCAAGGTTTATTTCGCCCCACATGGATATCCAATTGATTCTGTCTTATTAAAAAACACCATCATTTGCCATGTCCCCCATTAAATTCATTTTAAATATTTTTTATTTCTCAATTAGTTTATGTACAATATTATATTAGTTTCAGGTGTACAACCGAGTGATTAGACATAATATAACTTAAAAAATTATCATCCCAATAAATGTAGTACCCATATGACACCATACATAGTGTCAATATTATTGACTATATTCCCTAGCTATACTTTGCATCCCTATGACTATTTTGTAACTACCAATTTGTACTTATTAATCCACTCACATTTTTTGCCATCCTCCCCAAGCTCCTTCCCCTCTAACAATCGTCAAAAATGTTCTCTGTATGTATGAGTCAGTTTCTGTTCTGCTTGTTGGTTTATTTTGGGGCTTTTTAGAATTCACCCAGAAGTGAAATCATATGGCATTTGTCTATCCCTACCTAACTTATTTCATTCAACACAATGCCCTCTAGGTCCATCCCTGTTTTTGCAGATGGCAAGATTTCATTCTTTTTTATGGCTGAGTCATATTCCATTGTATATATGCACCACTTCTTCCTTATCCATTCACCTATTGATGAACACTTAGGTTGCTTCCACATCTTGGCTATTGTAAATAATACTGCAGTAAACATATAATTGCACAAGTCTATTTGATTTAGTGCTTGGGGTTTCTTTGATTAAATACCCAACAGTGGAATGGCTGGGTCATTTTTTGTCTTTGTTATAGCCTTTTTTAAAAGTCTATTTTGTCTGATATAAGTTTTACTACCCCAGCTTTTTTTTTCCATTTCCAATTTCATAAAATATCTTCTATAAGATATTTGACTGTCAATCTGTGTGTATCTTTTGATCTGACACAGCATATGTAGACAGCATATGAAAGGGTCTTATTTGTTATCCATTCAACCACTGTATGTCTTACGATTGGAGCATTTCATTTATTTGCATTTAAAATAATTAAATGTTGACAGATATGTATATTTTACCATTTTATTATATTTTTTACCATTTTATTATTTACTAGGGGCCCGGTGCACAAAAATTTGTGCACTCGGGGTGGGGAGGGGGGGTCCCTCAGCCCGGCCTGTGCCCTCTCGCAGTCTGGGACCCCTCGGGAGATAACGACCTGCTGGCTTAGGCCTGCTCCCGGGTGGCAGAGGGCAGGCCCAATCCCTAAGTGCAGCCCCTGGTCAGGCTCAGAGCAGGGCCGATTGGGGAGTTGGGGCGCCGCCCCGTCATGCACAGAGCAGGGCAGATC